TAGCTAGGCTAATTAGCTAGGCTATCCCGAAGTGATCCACACAGGCCTACTTAAGTAAGTACACAATCATCAAACTGGGGTACACATATCTGTAAAGGCTATTTGAGGTCTTCCTAAGGAATATGTATGTGCAGACAATTTGGAGGGAATTAACTTGAAGAGCCTCAAATTTCAATATTTGCTTTCCAAAACTAACCTGCTCACACAATTGGTTAAGGATGGTACCCTCCAACTTTATTTACTTTTGCATACAGAACTGGGGTACAGGCCAAAGGTGGTAGAGGATTCACCAGAGAGAGTAGGGAGCACAACCAGCAGACTGACTGAAATACAATGCTGAAGGGAGCAGCTGACCCGTCAGGAGAGGTCTATTGCACCATGTGGGTCACCTCCAGGGCTGGGGATCAAATTAAACCTTAAGTGGCTTCACTAGCTTGCAGTGCTGCAACCTAACCCATTGCACCACCAGGGAAGCCCCTCCCTGAAAGATAAAGCGTCTCATCCTGAATCACAGTGTTTGCATCACCTGTGGTTTCCCTCAAAATGAGGCAATTTGAGATACTGGTGATGGGATCAAAGTGAATCTGTAACAGGGGGGATCCCCAGGAAAAGGGGAGGCTCCAGGTACCCTGTTCCACCCAAAAAAGGAGGGTGGAGCTGAAAAGAGAGGAATCTGGAGAGGAAACTGGAGAAGAAGGAAGGATGGAGAGCCAGAAGGAGCCCTGAGGGAGGCACTTGGAGCAGATAGACATGTGAAGAAGTAGTTCTTGTTTCTTGGCCCTGGGCTGAACAGATGTGGGTGAGAGTTGTGGGGAGGCTCACTATGGCAGCATTTATTTTGATTTTGATTTTGCTCTTTTCCTCTCAGACTTTTCTGGCCATTTTTGACCCTTTTCCATGGGTCCCCACAGGAAGGTGCTTTAGACCTGTGACAGACTTTCAGGCCTTGCTTTGGGCCAATCCCTTTTGGGTGGACTTTTACCCATGAAGGGATGGGTAATTTTGGGTGTGTGATTTAGAAACTATATTCTTTGTCTTTTCTGTATTGCACACTAATTGTATTAAAAGTTCCTTTCCATTAAAGATCGTATGTCTTGTCTTGATGCAGCAGATAGCAGAACCTATTTAGAGCAGGTAGGTTTGGGGGTTCAGTGGTGCCCCTCTCTCCCAGCCCTGTAACAAATCAACCTAAGCAACTAGTAAGAAATAGCACATCTCTGCAAGT